AGTTTATTTCCCAGCACAAGCTGCTACCAAGACTTTCATCTGAGGTTTACACATCTATCAAGAACCTTAGTATTCAACGAAATCGACGTGGTTCTAGAAAAATGCTGATTTCTTCAGTCTCAGTGATTCCTACGCGGATTTCTAATGATGAATCTAATTATTATTCAAGAACAGACTTGAACTTTCGTTTTGCTAATTTCAACAGTTTAACTTTTGTGTCTTGTCATGATGATAAACAGACGATTCCAGTGAGGATCACTATTCATCACCAATATTCTCGGAAGATTACATGTTGTTAATGCAAATAGTTTCTCTATGCCTACACGTTCCACTGCTCCTGAATTCCAAGCGTAACTCTTTGGAACTTTGCTTACTTAACTCAAAATCTGCCAGAAACAAAGCGTTGCTGATTAATGATTTTGTAAATGACTGTACCATCGATATCATGGCTATAACTGAAACGTGGCTCAATTCGGCTGGAGATGAAGCAAGTATTGCTGAGCTTTGCCCTGAAGGATTCCAGTTTATACACTCTCCTAGAGAGAATCATATGCGTGGTGGAGGTGTTGGCCTTCTTTATAGGGACAATCTTCAAATTAAAAAGGAACTTTGTCACTCATTTTCATAATTCGAATGCCTTGACATTTTATTAACTAATTTAACTAAGGTCAGGATTTTTGTCATCTATCGTCCACCGCCTTCACAAGTTAACGGCTTGTCAGTTTCGGCATTTCTTGAAGAATTTTCTGATTTTTTGTCGCAAGTTGTAGTTTTTCCTGAAACCATACTCCTTCTGGGAGACTTCAATTTCCATGTTAATGATGTCAATGATCCTTCAGCAAGGAGGTTTCTGGACCTTCTCGACTCTTTCGACCTTAAACAGCATGTTCTTTGTTCTACTTTCCATAGTGGTCATACTCTTGATCTGATGATTACTCGCTCTGATGATTCTTTACTATCTGACATTCACATGTCCGATATAATCATTTCTGACCATTGTCCTGTTCTTTGTCACTTAGATCTTGTCAAGCCTCTTAACAAAACAAAAGTTATTTCTTTTCGTAATTTGAAATCTATCTGTCTTGAATCATTTAGGTGCGAAATTAGTGGTGCTTTTGCTCATGTTGACAATTCTGATCTGTCTAAGCTGGTATCTCATTATCATGATGCACTTTCCTCTGCGATTGATTCTCATGCTCCGCTTAAGC